GCACTGTGCTCAAAGCACAGCCGTTCTGTTTCAGGCAGCATGGGCGTGCAGGGTGATGCAAGGGCGTGCTCCTCCTTCAGCACAGGCGTGCATGACTTATGTGTTTGCGTCCCATTCAAATTTTTCCCACTTCTTATAGTAATGGCATTGCATTGCTCCCTTAGATTAGGCTCAGGCTGAGATGGTAGTATTCCCATCACTCTTTGACTCAGAAGATTCGTAATTTGCTCGAATTGTGCACTCATCTTAGAGGAGCTGGTTTGTATTTCAGATTTGACTTCTGCGAACCTCTTATCAGTTCTCTCAATATGTTGGTCCAATTTGGATTCAAGCTCTGTCATCCTCTTATTAGAGTAATGCACATATTGCATCATCTGTTCTTGAAAGTTGAATTGAGATCTAGGAGCTTCTTTTCCTTCAGGTCTTGCTCCCTGACTTTGCACATGAGGAGGGCGATAAACACTTGAATTTTGACTTCCAAAGCCATTCCCCCAAGAGTTAGGAGGATTACTCCTTCACCCCAAATTGTGATTGCCATGAAGTTTGCCTCTTCTTGCTTAAATTCTGGGCTTGCAGGAGCTCTTATAGGTTAGTCTTGAGCCTTCATTAAAGATTCTAGTTGCTTTGCAAGGGCTGCCATTTGGTTCATTAGTGGGCTGCTGCTCTCTGCTTGGTAGACCGGAGCGTTCTCTTTTCCCTTGATATCGTAAGAGTCAGCGGTGTGCCACTGAAAGTTAGAAGATGTCATCTCATCTATCAACTTGTATGCATCATTTGGATCTTTTCTTATGAGGGACCCTCCTGCTACGGCATCAATTGTAGCCCTGGTAGTGATTGATAAGTCACTGTAAAAAATTTGTACCTGTCTCCACATTGGAAAATCATGATGAGGACATCTCCTCAAAAGCTCTCCAAATCGCTCCCATGCCTCGAATAAGGATTCTGCTTCATGTTGTTGGAAGCAACATATCTCCGTCATAAGCTCAAAGGACCTTGATGGAGGAAAGTACTTTCCCAAGAATTGTTGAGTGAAATCCTCCCAAGTTCTGATGGAGTTAGCTGGGAGTGAGGCGAATCAAGCATTCACCTTTTTCAGATACCGAGAATGGGAAAAGACACAGTCAAATAGCATTGTTGGAGACTCCATTGTACTTGATGGTATCCGTCAATCGGAGGAACTTTGTCAGATGAAGATTGGGGTCTTCATTAGGCAAGCCTCCAAACTATATCGAGTTCTGGACCATGGTTATAAATACTGGTTTCAATTCAAAATTGTTAGCCTCCACATTTGGTGCCGCAATGCTTCCAAGAGTGCCTCTAGCAGTGGGTGTCATGTAATCTTGAATTGATCTCCTTCCCTCTACCATTCTTTGCTCTCTCACTTCTTTTCTTTGTCTACGCGCTGTTCTCTCAATCTCCGGATCAAATAAACAAGTTGTAGAGCACTTAAAACGAGTGAGCATACATTAAAAGAAATTGTGAAATAAAAAAATTAAAATAAAATAATTACAAAAATTATTAAAAAAATTAACAATAAACAAAACAAAACAAAATAAAATACAAATTGCTTAAATCAATTAAAATTGAGATTTTCTTAATATTGAAAAAGCAATCCTCGGCAACGGCGCCAAAAACTTGTTCGGAGGGCAAGTGTACCCATCGAGAAGTAATAAAGGATTCTTAAATTAAGTTCTCGAAATATCGTCCCACAATGATTGATTTCCAATTACTAAGAATTTTCTAATTCAATTGTTTAAGCTTCAAAGATACGAAATTAATTAAAAACAAGAATTTATAAAATCAATTATAAAACTAAGAGTAAGGAATACAATGCACGTTTTGGTTAAACTTATCGGAGAGGAACCTAGGGCATATAAGTTTTCTCATTCAATACTTTATGTTATTTTTCTATTTAACTCTAAATCCGATTTCCTTGTGATTACCAATCATTCATACGAATACTATTAATACCAATAGTCATGCAATATTAATATTCTTTCCTCTAAATTAATATCCCCAATGGTTATGCAAGACATCAATTTGAGAAAGCTTAAAGAACCTATGAACTTGTTAATTTAATAACGATTAGAAGAGAAAGATTGGTTTGGTTCACCTAATCCTTTGTCTCGTTTTACCCTATAGATCTATTAATTAACTGAGGTACGGTTGCCTGACGATATAATTAATTAGGATTAAGAAAGAAGTGCAATAGAATAAAATCTAATCACAAAACGGAAATCAAATTTAAATTCAAATATCAAAATTCTATAAATTCATGAACAATAGTTCCCATAGCCCTAACTATGGACTTAGTTACTCATGCTAAATAACAGAACTAAAACAATTATAAACAAAGCCATAATCAAAAGAAATAGCAAACTAGAGTGTGAGATGTGTTTCCGATCTTCAAGTACGATCGCTCGAAGCTCCAAGTCTTTCCAAGCATGTGCCAAGGATCCCGTGCAAGAGAGACGAGATCAAATGTATTCTAGAGCCAAAGCCAAGATGTCAAAACGGTGGTCCTAATGGTGTCTTAGGTCTTCCTTTTAATAGGGTTTGAAAACCCTAAAAACTCTTCATAATTAGGCTTTCTGAAGATGAGCACGGCTGTGCAAGGCCTTAAGCACGACCGTGTATGGGCTTAAAGCACCCCGTGCTTGTTGGGAGGGTATGGGTGTGTTAGTTGCTGCGAAACTCTAATCTTCTATCAATTTCGGCGCAGAATGCATCCAAAATCTACTTGCGGCCTCTTTATACCAAACTATACAATTAATATATAAATTAGTGTAAAACTCAAATAAAATAAAGGTCAAATATAAATATATTGGCTGTAAAATAAAGCTTAATTATAGACTTATCTATAATTTAATAATAAATTATAAAATATATAAATAAAAAGATCATGATTGGTAATTTTTTTAAAAAGTAAACATATCACTTAAATTTAAACAAATTGTCTCTTGCGCTCTTAAATCAGACGCAACCTAGAATCGTAATAGTCTAACCAGGTACCTCTTGGCCCTCGCATGGGGCATGCGCTAGTGGCTAGTACCGTCCAGAAGCTTGTTGCCGAAAGTTGGAGTGTAGTCATCCCTCACGTTAACATTGCGGATTGCATTTTTATTTCTTGTCCACAAACTTGCGAATTCCATTATCCAATAAATTTGGTATTCATTGGAGAAAGTTGGCGGGTATGGTTTGACATTATGGATCAGAGAATTAGCGGTGTTAAAATTTAAATGAGTTAATTTTAACTAATTGGATTTAATTTATATGAGTTAGGACAAAAAAAAGAAGTTACTGATTAAAAAGTTTACAAAGTTAAACTGAGTAAGAGTTAACCAATTACTTTAAAATATTATTATAATCTATTAAAAATATTTATTTTATATAATATTTTATTATAAATTTATAGATAAATACAATTGTTTAAAAATAGATGACAAGTAATTAAATTTGTGTAATATTAAATATGTACAATGAGTTTTTGTTATTAAATAATATTAAATAAATATAATAGTTTATTATTAAATTAAGTTACATATTTATTTAATTTTTGTCTATATTAATAATAATTATTAAATTACAATAACAGTTTTTATTTATATAATTTTATAAATAATTTTTTAAAACATTATTTTATAATTTTATTAAAATAATAACTATAAATTTTTTTATATTTTAATATTTTTATAAAATTATTTTAGGATCATTATATATTTCATAGATATTTTTAAAGTCATGACAGGGACATAATGACATGAACATAATAAAAAGCAACGCTAATTAAATTATCTATTCTCAATCAGCTGATCGATATTGTATTATTTGTTAATTTACTGTCAGTTCTATAATTTTTATAGTGAAACTTATTTAGATTGTAATATATGCCACCATTGAAGAGTTTTGTGCTGTTTACGGTAAAACTAACTTTTAATTTTAAAAAATATATTACAAAATTACACCAACTATAATGTTAATACGTGTTACAATGTGATTATTTTGTATTTATGACAGTAAAATTTATTTTTAAAAAAATTAACATTTTTGCCAATAATTTTGATAAAATTATTGTTATGTAAAAAATTTGACCTGAAAAGAAAAATAGTTTGAAAAAAAGTTAAGAATTAATTTTTAATTTTATAATATTTAAATAAAAAACCATGTAATAGCGTAAAATCATTTTTTAAAAAAAATAAAATAAAATAAAATTGAGAGACATTTATGGTTGAAAAAGTTATCTTATAATTTTCACATATTCGTTAACAAATTATTAAATTATTAGTTTAAATTGTCAAATATCTCGTAAGCTATAAATATAAGTAAAATAAAAAAATAGAAAATTTAAAATATATTTAAAATAAAATTAATTTAATTATTGTTATTCTATTTTAAATAAATATTAAATTTCAACGTAACAAGATAACGTCGTTCTTATCTAATAAACTATCAGTCGAGAGAATGACAGCGTAAACTCAATATCGTAATGACATCTATGTTTGGAATCTCTTACCCTATAGGGTTGTCACACCCGTTTAATTATTTTAATACATTTGAAAATTGTTTTAAATTTAAATTTTTCATTTTAAATTATTATTTTTATAATATCAATTGTTGTAAAATAGTCTTAAATTTAATCTTATATTTCTAGTTTTTCTCTTGATCTGATATTTAAGAAAAAAATTATTTTTTATATTAATAAAAAATAATTAAACATGATTAATTTAAGAATACATATAATTAGTAATAAAAAGCAGGTAAATAAATAAGAATTTAATTCAAAATACGTGAAGAATTTTGAATGAAACAGTTGATTAAAAAATTAATAAAAAATATTATTTTTAACTCATTGAAATTAACTTAAATCATAAAACGCGTTATTAATTGTGAAACACGTTTATAATACAAAGTCGCGTTCTGCACTTTAGGCCCCGCGCGGAAGGTCCCATATGGTACCGAGCCTGAGTATATAAAGGTGGCAGTGTTAAGGGACATGATCACACAACACACAATAAACTCAAGTTAACTCTGTTTACTCTCACACAGAAATTAACTTAGTACGAAGATGATAGCATCCAAATTACAAGGGGCAATTGTTAACTGCCATTCCAGAATAAGTAGGCAGAAAATTGTGCCCAAAGAGCGCGCCAGCTCAGTGGTGGCTCAAGCTGTGGTCACTCAAGAAACCTTTAAGGTTCCTGATTTAACCGTTACCTATTTACCTCCAACAACCACACCTTTGATAGAGAAGGCCATGGAAATTGTAGAGACAAAAGAGCTCACCGCTACCAATCCTGGAAAATTTGGTAGGTTTGGAGGCAAGTTTGTTCCCGAGACACTTGTAGCGTGTTTGAGCCAGCTTGAAGATGAGTTCAAAAAGGCCCTCCGTGATGAAGATTTTCAGGTGAAGTACAAATCCTTTAATCATTAAAAAATTTAAAGTAAATAATAATAAACTTTATCCAAACCAATTACAGATACCGACAATAACTTTACTGGCAGCACTATCAAATGAATGATTGAACTTGTTAGCGTTCAACTTTTACGGTGTACAAGACACACGTAATGATGTTTTGTTGCTGTTATCAACAAGAATAATTTTATTTTATTTATTTATATAAAAAATTAACATAATATTAATTGTTAATTTATTATTACTGATATTAACAAAGAAATTTTTGGCTAACAAATTTTAAATACAATATTTTATATTATTTTTTAATTAAATTAAAATTTTAACTCGATGATTTATAATAATGTATTAAATTAATTAATAGAGATATTTCATTAAAAACTAACACTAAAAATACCTGAGTACGCGTACCTACATATATTTTCTTTCTACAAATGTTGATTTGAATAGTTGTATTTGCAGGCAGAGCTAGCGGCGGCACTAAGAGACTATGCTGGAAGAGAGACACCTCTGTATCATGCTCAGAGGCTGTCGGAGTATTACAAGAGCAAGAATAATGGGAAAGGGCCAGAGATATACTTAAAGAGAGAGGATCTCAACCACAGTGGCTCCAACAAGATGAACAATGCTCTTGCTCAAGCCATGATTGCTAAGCGCATGGGTTGCAAGAGCGTCGTCACCGCTACCGGCTCTGGACAACATGGCCTTGCAACTGCTGCAGCATCCGCAAAACTTGCTTTGAAGTGCACCGTCTTCATGGCCGCCAAAGACATGGAAAAACAATCTTCAAATGTGAAGTTGATGAAGCTGTTAGGAGCTCAGGTATGCTAAATTCATATACCTTTTCTCTTCTTATTGATCAAGAAATTATTCCTATGCAATATTATTTGTTAATTTGCTTGCAAATATTTTCCCAAAGAAGGGTTACAAATAAATTTTAAAGAAGTGTATAAATAAAGAGATAAGGAAGGATTAGAAGGAAAAGAAAAAAATAAAAAGATAAATTTATTTTTAATTTTGATGAATTATTACTGGTTTTTAATCATATAATAATTTATAATTAAATGATAGTATATTTTAATTAAATTCATTTAGTTTTTCATATGTACTTTTATAAAAATGTTTGGTACTGTTCAATTCCCTGTGAATGAGTTATTACTAATTAGTTAAATTGTTCATATACTTAATTACCAAATGTATATACCTGTGGTAAGTAAACCAATAATTGTTGGGGTAAGGATAATAATATATATAGATATGCATATAGGTTGAAGGTGTTGATGGAGGGTTTAAAGATGCAGCATCAGAGGCGTTTCGATGTTGGGTGGGAGACTTAGAAAACAGTTATCACTTGAGGGGTACAGCGGTGGGACCACACCCGTGTCCGACAATGGTGCGTGAGTTTCAGTCGGTGGTAGGGAAAGAAACGAGGATGCAAGCATGGGAAAAATGGGGAGGGAAGCCAGATGTTCTTGTTGCATGCGTAGGAACAGGGTCTAATGCTTTGGGTCTGTTCCACGAGTTCGTAGAAGATGGTGATGTAAGGCTTATAGGAGTTGAAGCAGGTGGTTTGGGTTTGGAGAGTGGAAAACATTCTTCAACGTTGGCCGCAGGAGAAGTGGGTGTTTATCATGGTGCTGTCAGCTATTTACTGCAGGACGAGGATGGGCAAATTCTTGGACCACATTCCATTGCCGCTGGGTACGTTTTGTGGATAAGTTTTGTCTTCAAAAGTTTCCCTTCACTTTCTATCCGTTTACAATAATTAACATGTGACTTTTTTTTGTTTTAATATTTTTAAAATTTATTTTTTCAATTATTGTAATTAAGTCCTTTAATTTTTAATATCAAATGCTAAAAAACTAGTTAAATTGTTCTAAAAAAATATTTTCAAACAATATACTTTATTAGAAAATATTTATTATAAAAAATTAATTTATGAATTTCAATAGAATGGTGAGCGCGTCCAACTTTAAAAATGTAATCTCCTCGCCTTAGATTGTGTCTGGTGAAACATCACGTCAATGGAATTTATTCTTAGTGCAAAGCGTCATCAATATTTTAACGTTAAGCAAATAACCTTGTAGGAAAAGGTATATATGACCAATCGTAGTAAAACATTGACCTTTCTTAACTTGCAGGATGGAGTACCCAGGAGTTGGTCCAGAGTTGAGCTTCCTTAAAGAAAGTGGACGTGCGGAATTCTGCGTCGCAACTGATCAAGAAGCCCTTGATGGTATGCCAAAATCATAACCCCACACACACATGTTTAGTTTTGAAAAATAAAAATCAACTTTGCTAACGGTTCATTAATATTGTATAATTTGCAGCGTACGAAAGAATATGCAAATTAGAGGGCATATTTCCATCCCTGGAAGCCGCACATGCTTTGGCCATTTTAGGAAAGTTGGTCCCTACTTTAAACGACGGTAGTAAGGTGGTTGTGAACTGTAGTGGGCGTGGAGATAAGGACGCAGCTATAGTCTTCGATCGTGGACTATTTGATCGAGAATGATAGTGTACCGGTGTCAAACTTCTACAAGTTGCATCAAAAGTTGGAAACCTAAATCCAAGTTTACCTGACAAAGTTTGACATGTACAATGTTATAAATGCTATAAACATGCACCAAAAAATGTGCATATAGTGGATGCATATGCTAGGAAGTCATAATTGAGTATTTCGGCCTGAACTTTCGGCCCCACCGTTTAAATTTATTAGCATTATTGGAAGTTGGAATATAAATAAAATCGTAAAGTTCAATTACTTTTACTAAAAGTCCAGTCCAGTATTATTTTAGGTATCAGTCAAGTCTAATGCTTAAAAGTTTTATACTGGAGTTATTGTAAAATAATAAAAAAAAGTTGGTTATATCTAATTTATTTAAGTAAAATAATATTAAAATTTGACCAGTTTGACTTATTTAACAATATGAAGTCGGAGTTTGATTTATTTAATTTGTTTATGACAAAACTTTTCAATCGAAATTTAATTTCTTTAAAATAATTCTGTTTATTAATTTACCATTTGTAAAATATCTATATTAAAAGATGAAGGAAAATTTAGGAATGTGAGCAAGTAGACTTAAAGATCGGAAGTTAGATGAGTAATTCTATGGTTCTCTCATTAATTTAAAAAAAGTAAGGTAAAAATATCATTTTTTAAAAATTTCTAAATATTGTAGATTGTTAAAAAAAATAAGATAAGAAATTGGTAATACAAGTTAAATTTATGAAATGATACATTAATAATTATATATATATGTTTGTGTTTTTCATTCTTTGTGTTTTTTTTTCTTCTTTATTTTACTCTTTCTCTACCCTTCACCTATGACATCATAATTGAGTAGCATTGGTTTCTATTTTAATCTTTGGCTATAAATTTTGATTCATAGCATGAAGGATTTACAAATGGCAAAACTCTATATACAAAATTATAAAAAAAACACTAATAAAATTAGACAACTTTAGAATTTTGGAAAAAGAGTTTGTTAAATTTTATTTTGGTGTTTGGGTTCAATAAACATAAAAAACATATATGAAATAGACATGAAACTTCTATAAATCAAAGTTCTATGATAAAGTTATGTTCTTTCAAAGTTTAAGGTTAGGATATTGAAAGAAAACAAAATTAAAAATTTTTCACTGTCTTCTATATCAATTTTAGGTGAATAGATGTAGAAAGTGACACTCTACATCAATTTTTCAGTGAGAAGAACTTATGTAGAAGGTAATGATGTAAGAAGTCGTTGATTTAAGGATATTTTAAGTGAAAGATATGACTGTAATTTGCTTTGAAGTTATTATAGTGATGTTTTATTTGTGCATGGCGTTTCAACTGTTGAATTTATTGGTAAAAAACTGTAACATCCTTCTTTATTTTCTTTAATAATTTATATTATTGAAAATTATGATTAAGAAAATTATAAAAAATGGTACAATATGGGAATATAAACTAATAAATTTTTTTTACAAATTTATAAAATTTACCAATTAAAAATTTTACTATCAATGAAATAAAGATACATAAATAGATTTATACATCTATTACATTAAATTATTTATATCTGATTCTTTTCTCACAATCTTTGACGAGTATGACCCTAGAATGGATCAATCATCTCCATCTCTTTTCTTTCATTACCCAAAAAAAATCAATAAGGGTGAGTATTTTCCACCACTAAATTTTTCTTATTATAGATTATCTTAAATAAAACTACAGTTATGCCCTAACATCTTATTGTAACTAATCACAAATAATAAACAACTTATATTGACAATCATCATATCAAAGCACATATAACAAGACAATCATCAATCAAAGCATATACAATAATTCACTCACTATACATACATTTTTATGTTAACTTATATGTTATAATACATGTATCATATTATTTCAATTAATATATCACAATACATGTGTCCTAGTCACATCCATCGATATAGTACAACACATATATCGTAACAACATAAATTTGATTTGTTACGATGCATATATCATAATCATACAAATTATCTACTATTTCATATCTATAAAACTTTTATATTCATCATACTTCATAGCCATTACCCCTGGTATCCCTTGAGGACTTCATAGTATAGATAGTTGTTGGTTAGCTACAGCATCACGGATACACGTGTGCTGCCTCGACCCCTTTTAGTAAAGGTATAGTTAGGAGTTTTGTTTGGAAACGAGTGTGTGGCCAAACGATGTATTTGTAATTTTATAAATGTGTACACTCAAGCGAATGTCATTCCTCACCCTTGGTTTGTCCCAGAGTTTTCAAATCTTCTCCAGACTCTATACCCCTAGTGTATCTTTATAACTATCTATACTTATTTTCTTTCTCTTTCTCAGTATTTCTCATTTCAGTTCCATATTCTTTTTATTGATTAGCATGTCATAATATGTGAGTCATGATTTATATAATCTTATGTATCACCATATATATATATATATATATATGTATGTATTATAATACACTCTTCAATGTACCATAATATATATTATAATCACACTTTTCAAACTATTTTGGCCCACGTATCATAATCATGCATCTCATTCATTCTCAATTATATTCTTTTTTCTCTTTCGTATATCATACTTTCGAAATCAATCAACACTTCAATTATTCATATGAATTTACCCAATTTGAACACAAATAAGCTATCAAATTATATCTATACTTATTGCATCATACCAATCTAACATAGAAAACTATCACGCAATATCACACTATACCATCAGTATAATATGCCAATTTAATACAGAGATTATCATACAATATCACACCATACAATCAGTACAATATGCCGAAGGTCGGACACCTTCGGACTCAATCCAATTCATACAATCTCAGTATGGTCTTCTACCCTAAAGTTCAATATTTTGTTTCCAATTCATACCATATATATATATCCTTGATGAATGAATGATTGCATAAAGATTTATCGCCAACCCTCATCAAAGTATGTATAAATTTTGTGTAGCCTAGAATGCAAGCCTAGGTTGTCTCCGATGACTTTAGTTGAAAATGTGCATTAAATATGTTACAAACATTCACTATGAAAGCAATTAAAAAGGGAAGGTTTGTTTGATTTCCAGATTCAATGTAAAAAGCAAGTAATGAAATTATAAAATTCAATCAATAAGATGTATCAATCCTTAGTTCATTCACGTGATTCTATCCCTATTCATCTCAACATTTAACACTCTTCCTCTTCCTTTGAATTAGATTAATTCAACAAGTGAGAATCAACCTTAAAATTTCACACGAATTTAAGCAAATTCAATGGACTCCAACCCCTTTTCCCAAGATTACGCAACTTTAGAAATTAACTTAGAATTAAGCAAACCAAGTTAAGAATCTCATTAAAACGAATTAGGGTAATTAAGTAATGTCCCCCTCATTCAACCATTAATTCAATTCAAAGGATTTAAGAACAAGAAATTCATGAAGAAAAAGGAATTATATTAACATTCATAACCCAGAAATTCAAGAATCCAAGTGAACCCAAGATTACGCTCAGTATTGTACTAGTTTGGCCCTTGCTATAGTTATCACTATGGATTTTGGAGTAGCTACACGCAGACCTATTGCAATCTAGGGTTGCTATAGTGTCCACTATCACTTCTGAAAATGATCACTTTGGTCTGCACTCTTGATCTAGCTTGTTGTAGGGTCCACTATCACTCTTGAAAGTGACCACTTTTAACTCAAATTTTCTCAAAGGCTAAAAATCCATGGAATAAGTCTAGAAATTCCTGCACAATTATTCAAATGATCAAAATTGTAAATTATATCTATGTAAATCAATGTAAATCAACCAAAAATTAAGAAACATATGATAATTGACCTAAATGGATTTTTTTTATCTTATTTACACTTTCTATGTTTGCTTTTTCTATTAAAGAACACTAAAAAGACTAGTAAAAATTTAATAAAATATGGATTCATCACAACCCCAAACTTAAACTTTTGCTTATCCTCAAGCAAATTAAAATTCAAGAGAGTTGCATGTAAAAGGGTTGGATTTATCCAAAAAAATTTCTCAAAATTTTCATTCCAATATTAGACTAATTGGCACTTTCAATGTTTCCAAAATCATGGATTCATTTAACAAAGAAATCACACTCATATCAATTATTTTCATGCAAAATCCCACTAACCTGAAGCAAAAGTTCCAACAATGTTTCAAACAATTCACATAATGCAAACAAATTATCTAGCTCATAAGGTGGTGTTTCGCTCTTCACTCATCAATGTTTCAGACTAAGTGTTTTCCCTCAATTCATGTATTTTGCCTCACCTTACCATATGCTTGCCCATATTTTCAATCTCCTTTGCCTAGATACAAAGAACCACCTATCATGAGGGCTTTATTGGTCACAAATGGGGTTAGGTTAGGTTCAAATTTGATTAAGGAGAGACAAAAGCTCAAGTGAGTTTTCAAAAGAAGGGAGTTCTTTGAGTGAATGAACACAACTAGAATGGAATGCATTAAAATGATGTAGCTTAAGAGGTTCAAGGATTCTTTCACCATGTTTTTCATTTACTTGCCTTATGTGGGAATCTTTCCAACTCAAGGCCCTTGCTTTATTTATATATTTTTCTTTTTCATTCATTCATCATCATTTTTTTATGAACTTTGACAATCATTCTCTTCTTCAAATTCAAACTTATTTTTTACATGTATTATTAACATATATGATGTTCACCACTCCAAACTTAAGATTTTGCTTGTCCTCAAGCAACTACAATGATAATCAGCACCTCAAATTTAGTTTCTTGCATTCACTCTTGATGCAACTCAAAAGAAATACTTCTTTTAAGATAAGGAAATTAATTTAGCAGATTAAGTTTAGCAAAAATGATAAGTATCTGCAAAGAAAGACTCAATCATCTAGATAAAAAATTGCACAATGCATATTCAATTAAGACACAGGGCAATACAAAAATACATGTAAAGTGTGATATCCATGTCGCACTAGTATCAAAAGTTACTAGATTTCTCATAAAAACATGCAGTTTAGAGAGCAACCTAGGTCATCTCTCACAAGAATGCAAATGCACATTGTTTTAATATCAATTATGCAAAAAAAGTTATATGTTTGGGGAGTTTTGTGACTAATTACAGAGAATTAAAAGTAGAAAATTAAATTGCAGAGAATGAAACGTAAATTGCAATGCAAGTAATCAATCAAACAAAAATTGCGAATGGAAATCGAGATCTAGAACACACAAAAACACAAACGTAAATTGATTAAACCGAATTTGCTTAAATCTCTTTTGCACAACAAATCAATTAATCAATCGCTTGATATATGATCAAGAAAGAGAGGTA